TCTCCGGGGTGTTTCCCCGACATTATTGGGATTTCTTGGACAGGGGGGGGGCCCTCAGAAAGAGAAAGAGGGAGTGGTTGGTTTTAAAAACCCGGGTGTTTTTTTTTGTTTTTTTTTGGGGGGGGAGGCGGCCGGGAAAACGGGCGTCCTTCATTGGTTTTTTTCTCCTTCCCCCCTTGGGGGAGGGGGGGGAGGGGGGGTATTTTTTTTTTTGGCATCCTTCCCTTTTAAGCCCTTGGCCCAGGCTTCCTGATTTGAAAGAAACGGGGGGGGGGGGGGGGCGGGGATGGTCCTGGGTACTGCTGTTGCTTGCCTTTGGTTAGGTGCGGCAGCAGCGGCGATGATCGTCTCAACTTGTGTTGCCAAGTACGGTAGTCCCTTTTCAGTCGTTGTTTTGACTATCGTGTCATACGAGGTCGGTGGGAGGAGGGGCGCCAAGGGAGAGGTCGAAGCCACGGGACGTGTTGTTGGAATATGACCCCTGATCCTTATCTAGCTGGACAAACCACCGCGCCTCAAGAAGCCGCTCGGTTAAATCTAAACCTTTTCTTTTGTTCGATGTCATACACGAGGAGTAGATACGTACCCCCACAAACTCAGCAGTGTTATATGCGTATCAATCACCCAGCAAAATCATTATTACTATCGTGTTGCCTGGTCCTATCTACCGTGCTGTCTGATCGAACGGGCACCACCACCATTCAGGTCGTAGACTTGGACAGCAGGGTGCAGGCGACGGGAGGGTCAGCCCTCTCTACGGCGAAAGAGCTGCTGCAGCAGAGACACGCCACTCGGAACGTGGAGGCGGCGTCACAGGTTATCCGCCAGGTGTGGGGGAGACAAGGAAGACGAGGGGGGGGGGCAGGAGATGAAATCGTACGATAGAGGGGCAGAGAATATAGAGGTATCAGAGGGAGGGGGGTTGAAATATACCGATGCTACGCAGGGGAGAACCTAGGAGGGAGTTATGCGCTTGGGAGTCAATGGCGACGTGTACGTGCTGTTAGGTGATTGTGTTGGACAGCAGCTGGTGTATTATCGAGTGTTGCTGTTGCTGCTGCTTTTGGCGATAGATTCGTCATGGTTCTGACTCGGGCATGCTTGTTTTCTTACCGAGTAACAATGTTCTACCTTGCCATCGTCTTGTTTTTTGCCGGTGGCGTGGTGGAGTAAAACAGCAGAGACCACACACCTTCGTGCACGCACCCCCACCCCACAACCAACCCCTTCTCCAACAAGCACTCTTGTCGTTGCTGTGCATTAGCCGTCAGGTTCGTACCAATTCGGGAGAGCTCGTGCCTGAAGCTCTCTATGTTGCTGTGCTTTAGCCGTCAGCTTCGTACCAATTCGGGAGAGCTTGTGCCTGAAGTGCTCATGTTTGCGCCATGCGCCTATTCCCGGTGTTGGTCTCTCGTCTGCCTTGGCGGCAGTGCGACGGTGTGGTGAACATGGTCATGGAGGCCTTCGTGCACATCCACGAGGAGCGCTACTACTCCGCCCTCAACACGGTGGACCAGATCAACCAGCGCCTGGACGCCTTGGACAGCGTAAAGTTCGCCTCCCAGCTCAGGAGGTGGATGCCGTCTCTGACGGAGATGATCAACAAGGCCACCAAGGAAGAGGTGCGTGCCCATCGCGTCTGCCACCGGCTGGTGTGCCATGCGCTATTCGCACGTTGTTGTTGGTGGTGGTTGTGATGACGGCGTTCGCCTTTGTTTACAAGTTTCGTTTTTTTTGTGGTTCCTTTCCCAAGTAAGCGGAGTACCTTTGCTTCGCCTTCCCTTCCTACGTTTCCAAAGGCTGTCTTTTGGCCACCTCAGCAGCTTGGTTTGTTGTCCTTCTCTCCCCCCCTTCCCCCAAAGGAAAGTGACCCTCCGCTGCACACAAGCCAAGGAAGCTCGTTGGCATGTTGTTTTCGACGTGTCTCGCACAAGATTGGAGCATCCAGCTACCCATACCCCCTCCCCCGCGGTGGTAAAACGTACGTGCCTCGAAACTATCCGAGGGAACATTCGCTTGGGCGAAAGGTAGTGGTTTTGACTGTGCAGATGGACGCTCGCCGTCCTCCCCCACCTCACCACCCGCTCGCAGATGTCGCAGTGGCTGGTTGACATTCGAGAAGTCTCGTACAAGATGGGCGGTGCGGCCATGAGACGGTATACTAAGATCCAGGGAGCGTCCACAGAGAGCGGGACTGGGCTGGAAGGGGATGGCGGCGGGATGCGCAGCCAGGTACAAAAACAACAAACACAAAAAACAGAAAAAGAAGAACGAAAACGAGAGAGGGATGGTGTCGGCTTGATGTTATCTTCATGGTGTTCGTATAGCTGCTTGTAGCTGTGGTTCGCGAAGGTGTGTGGACGAATGAATTCTCGAACCGTGTCGTCGGTGTCGGGTTTCGAATAAATGATAAGAATGCGTTCTTTTGTTTTTGCAAGATCTTTTTGTGGTCCGCAACAGCTGTTTGCAAATCGAAAGCCCTGCGTGGTAGACAACGACGACCTACGCAAGCGATAGCGCCCCTGTTAGTCCTGCTACTGCCAGCAGTACTTCTGCACCATGGTTTTTCCTTTACACCTGTGACATTATCGACTGCCCCCCACCCCCCCCGCCCCCACTCGGTCTGTCTTGTAATTTAGGCCATGATGACGCACAGCGTTCGCTTTTTGCTGCGCCTGGGCGACCTGATGGGGTGCGGGCTGAGGCTCAACAACGACGAGCTGGAGGAGTGCGTGCCGGAGCTTTTGCGGGGTCGATCGGAAGATAAGGAGAAGGAGGTAGGTGTGTGTGTGTGGGGGGGGGCTTCGTGGGGTGGGCCTGATTGAAATCGTCGTGCTTGGTTGCGGTACCCCTGGTTGAATTGGTCCTGCTTGGGTGTTGTCAGGTTCGGCTGCAGGGTGAAGAAGAGTGCCTGAACATGAAAAAGTCGTTGGTTATTCATTTTTTTGTTTTTTCTTCATCGCTTTTAATCGGCGCTCGCAGATTTTCTGCCTGGTAGGAGCTGTAGCTCGATTCCGTGGGCACACAGAAGGGTTCCTCGCCCTGAGGCCCCCTACCCTTGGCGCCACCCAGTGGACGACGTCGCGCATGTGTGTGGATTTATGTTACCAAATTCCATTGACCGCTCTCCACCGCTGATAACCGCCACGAAATGCTGCCAGGAGAAAGCGCTCGACCGGCTGAGCGATCACCTGCACCCGGTGCACCGAGCGCTGCACATCTTCGCGCGCCTGGGCATGCTGGCCGACTTCAAGACCTGGTACCTCGAGTGCCGAAGGCCCATGGCCGAGATGCGGTCGATGATCACGAGGTAATATTCCGTTCACTCCTCCAACAGTTGTTGCTCGAGAATGCGTATGATGCTTCGAGCCGAGATGTTGTAGTATTAGCTTTTGACGATGCGTTAGAGCAAGTCCACAGTTGCTCGAGAATGTATGCTTCGAGCCGACATGTTGTGAACAGTATTAGCTTTTGACAATGCGTGAGAGCTAGAGACGGGAGGGAGAGGGAGGAGGACTGCTGTGTCTGCGACGCAAAGAGGCGGCTGTGTTCTTGACTACAATAGCACCAGCCCCTGCTACTGAAGGGTACCGCGTCCTGGGGCTGGAAAATATGGCATTGCCAGCACCAGTTGAGGTGGAAATAACGACATAATCCCGCCGACCGAGTAACGCCTGCCAAATCTATGACGACACGCCGGCCGTGGCTCTTTTCGTAATCGTTTTTTTTCTTTTGTGCAATACCTTAGTCCTCCCCGTGGTGCTTAATTTCCTTGATCAATTGCTTGCGTTGCTTTTAGTTTCCGATCTATGTGTGTACTTGTTGCAGAGATATCCTGATTGCTTGCGGTGTTTTTTGTTTCCACTATATGTATGTACATGTTGGCAGAGATATCGACAACCTGGACACGGACGCGTTCTTGACGTACCTGCCCACCCTGGCCAACGGAATCGGCGGGTTCTTCATCGTCGAGCAGACGTTGCTACAACAGGTGGAAGGCGATGTGCAGGCAGTTTTTTTCAAGCAGCGCAGGCGACCCGACTTCATGTTTTTTTGTTTTTTCGACCCGTTTCGCGACATGTTTTCGTCTCTTCGTGAGACACGAGTGCCTCGGTTGCACACCATCTGTATAGGTCCACGTGCTATCGGATTTTTGCGAGGTGAAACATCGCTTCGGCACAGCTTTTGTCACGGCCATGACCTGCAACCTTGTACCACATGTTTGCCAACAAGCCGCACCGACAGCGGGGGGAGGTCCGGCGAAGTGAGGGTTCAGGCATTTAATGACACAACACATGCTTTACTCTTCTCTTCTTGTCCTTGGCTGGTAGCTGTTGAACTTCTATATTGTCTTGTCTTTGTTGTTTTCCATCCCGTCTTTTCTTTGGGCCCCAATGTCCACCTGTCGGTTTGCGCACCAACCGGGGTGTCTGGGAGGAAGGCAATCACGAACAGTTTTCTTAATGCATCACATGCGGGTTCGATGCGTGGTATGGTAGCTTGTTGCGCGAGACCCTCGACAAACAACCCCCGACGATGAAACCCCCGACCCCCCCGCAGGTGGACCACCGAGAAGGGCTGCTAACGCTAGCGCAGCTGGAGGAGTCGTGGATGCAGTCGCAGCTCAGCCTCAGCGGCCTGATCCAGCAGCACATGACCAGGCTCAGCCGACCGGGACACTTCTTCCAGGTCGGTTGTTGTTGTTGTTGTCGTTGCTGTTGTTGTTCTTCTTCTTTTTTCTTCGGTGTTTGTGTCTGTGCGTTAGGCCGGTCGAGTTGCAGGTTTTCGTAAGAGAGAGGTTAAGAACGTTTTTGATGAGGTGTTTAGACATCATGCAACCACATCAAACATGAGCAATCGAGTTTTTCAAGTGCGGGAGGCCGCCGTGAGCGTGGATCGCCTTCTCTCTTACCCTCTCTCTTACCTCTTCGGCGTTTTTCTTGGGCTGGGTTCTGCTGGCGACAAATGTTTTACGAAACGTGCACGATAGACTTGTCGCACACCCCCAGCCCCCCCCCCGCACCCCCTCTACGTGTTGCTGTCTTGGATGCTTACACACGCATTCAGGTTAAGGAAACGGTGCTGGCGCTCGTTTCCATCATGCACGACCTCAAGATGGACACCCACGTCCTCATGAACCTCGTCCGGGCCCTCAAGGACCCCTTCCGAAAGCTAGTCCTCACGGAGTTCGAGGCGGACATCCGCCGCATCGTGCAGGAGGAGACTTACCAGCCGCTCGACGTTGAGGTGTGTGTGTGTGTGTGTGAGAGAGAGAGTTTTCATTGTTTGCATCGACCTCGCTAACCGGCTGACCAATGAAAAGACGTCGGTGTGTGTTTTTATTCTTAGCATCGACCGCGCTAACAGGCTGAGCGATGAAAAGACGTCAGTCTCAGTGCGGCCGAACCAGAGAATGCTTCCGAGGGCCATGATCTGGGACACCCCAAAAGGGGGCGTCATGGGGGAGGATAAGCTACTCTCCCGTGTGTGTGTGTTTGTGTGTGCATTTTTTTTGGGTGTATGTATGTGACAAAACATTTGGAATTGTTTTCCTCTGCTCTCTCCTCTGTCCGTTTTTCGGGGATCCCAAGGCAGCCAGCCGCAGCCGCGGCCACTGCTAGACGCCTCGTTTCGTGCGTAAAGTAGTCGCAGCAGCAAACGCTTCGGTTACAAAAGGCTGCTCTTCTTGCCACCGCCGGGTCGTGGAAGTAGGCAGGTTTTTCTGCTTTGCGGCGTGGCGTGGTGGGGGCTCTGGCCATGCCTGGCGCTGTCCCGGGTTGCTACAAAGTACGATGAGTAGGCTCTTTGACTGGTGCCCACCGTGGATGTGAGGACGGCACGCACACGCCATATCCGGTCAAAAGCATGTTTTTTCTGTGCTGTGTTTGTCCACGGAACCAGAAAGGCGGGAACACATGTTTGTACAGCGTGCGAGCGTATTGAAAAGACTCGCGACTTTTGTGTCCGTTCGAAAGAATGTATATTGATACACGCTTGGTTGGTCTATTTAGGCGAAACCTTCCCATACAGGCTCTTCAACTAACTCCAAGAGCGGCGCTCCGCTACGTAGTGTGTGGTGCAGGCGCATCTCATGGCAAGGCTTTCATCCCACGCCCGTAGAGGCTCATATACCTCGCTGTTGTGTAGGTTCACCGATTTTTCAGGGTCGTGCCATTCATACTCGGCGGGTCACACCCGATTGACTAACGTAGAAGCTCAACCTCTATCGACGTTTTTTTTTTTTTTTACCTTTCCGCGACATCATCCCCCCCCCACAGCACGCGTTCGCTCTCTCTCCCTGAACTTGTTTTATCATTTCCTTCAGACCCGCGAAGACTTCGAAACGCTGATCGCTCCGATGGGACTGGACCAGACGGACCACACTGGGCCGCAGGAGGTGCCGGACAACGGAGACCCCTCGCGGTTCATGGATGTCAGTGAAACCACGGCGTTTTCATGGAAAAAAATTACCATGTGTTGTGCTGCTGTTCTTCGGCCGTCGAACGGTGTTGTTTTGTTACCTCTAGGAGGCGGCGGCGGTGGTGGTGGTGGTGGACGTGAGACGCAAAGTTTTGACCGTGGAAAATGTGGTGCAAAGTTTTGACCTAGGTGGTTGTTGCTGTTGCGAGACGCGTGCGACGACTCAGGCAAGAAAACCGAAGCGTGCAGCGAACACACAGCAATAACAAGGACGACGACGACAACAACCATAACAACAACAACAACAACAACCACGACAACGACAACAGGTGATAGACGACTCGTTCTACTTCGGGGTGGAGGAGGACGAGGGGGGGGCCCACGGACCCGATAGCTTTCCCGTGACGTACCCCTTTTCCGCCACGGTGCCCCACATAGGCCTGGCCCTGCTCAAGGTGAGTCGGCGGCGGCAGCAGCAGCAGCAGCAGCAGCAGCAGCAGCAGCAGCAGCAGTCAGGCGAACAGGCTTGACACTTGGGTTTTCGCCCGTTGTGTTTGCCTGTGGCCCAGTCCGTAGTAAAATTCAACCACGTGATGTGCGCAGGTGTTTGGCGGCGTATACATGTCGACCGCGCTTTGCTCTTGCCGTACGTACCGGCCCTGTTGTAGCGGCAAGAACGGAGAATGCGAGGATTGGCCACGGAGACCTGTTTTTTTCCTGTTCGAGCGATGCTCACCGATGAGGCTCAGCACCTTCTCTTGTGCTCGTGGTAAATCAAAGATACTTTGTGCACGATACGGACATGGGTAATGCTGTCTTCCGCTTTCTCACCGTCGCCCCCCCCCCCCCCCCCCCCCCCCCCCCCCCCCCCCCCCCCCCCCCCCC